GCCACAGAAAAACCCTCTCTTTCCAGGTGTGTGGACCTGATATTGAGAGTTCTGTCCCAATTCCCTGCTTCCCAACCTGTCCTACTCTATTTTCAGGAGGAGGAGGGGAAAGGAAGGAAGAAGCAAAACAATAAAAAGGGACAGGGAAAAGAGTCCTTCAATGTAGGTAGATGCCAAAGACTTCTGTTGGGCAGTTCTCTGTCCCGCTATCCAGGAATGCACAAAGCTCAGTAGGAGTCTGAGTCAGAGGTGTCCCACGAGGACGATGAGCTGGAGCTGCTGGCCTCTTCATCGCTACTGCTGGTGTCTGAGGAGCTGCTGCTTTCTGCCTTTCCCCCATGTTCCTTCTTTTCTTCAGATCCCCGGGAGCAATGAGAACAGTCCCTCTTTGTCTCTGAAGATGCCATCCTGGGAGCCTGTGGTCCCTGCTCCTGTGCAAGCCCTCCTGGCAGAGGCCGTGCTGGTGGAGACTGCACATCTGTCCTGATGATCTTGGGGTCCGGCCCTCCACGCATGCTCATGTTCTTACGCTTCCCAGAGGTTCTCTCTCTGTAGGCAGCGTACTCTTTAGGAGATAGACTCTTAAGCCAGTGCTCCAGGTCCACCTTGTACTGTTTCTGCAGCTCCTCAGCCTGCTTCCTATAATGCTCCTTCTGGCTCCTTGGGGTGTGCTGCCAGCGTCTGCTAATCTCCATCATGCGCTCCCTCTGGGGCAGGCCTTGCAGCTCCCTACTCCACCACAAATCCTGGTGGAACTTCTGGAATTCATTCATGGGGGGCTTCTTGGGCTCTCCATGGAATTTAAACTCAGAAAAATAGTTTTTGGGGGAAGACTTCACTACTTTCCCTTTTCTCTGAAATTTCCTGGGGGCTCTGTTTGGGTTCCTTTTGTAGACAACAGATGGCTTGGAGTTCTGCACTAGCTCAGGGTGGTCTATCTTGAACTGAACCAGTTTCTCCTGAAACTCCTTTTTCTCCTTCTGAAAATCTTGAATATATTTCAGTTTCATCTCCTCTGGGAGCTCCTTGTATTTCTCAGACATGAACTTGGTCAGCTCCTTGTTGTTGAGTTTGGGGTGCATTTGGGAATACAAGGGCCGCTTCTCCTTGAAGAAGCGAAGGTAAGGAGTCAGGGGCTGCTTGGGCATGTCTGGATGTTTCTTAAGTTTCCAGTAACATCACAATGTCTTCTTTGGGCCATTGGTCTTGGCTCTTACTCAATGCCATTTCTAGGACTTTGGGTCACTTATGAGGCCCCAGTTATGCAAACACCAAAGCAGAAACTCAAAAGTCTTCAAGCTTAAGACTTAGCAGCTGAGCTATTTTGGAAGTTCTGCAGTGTGTGTTCTATGTTTCTGAGGAGCAATAGAAGAATGAATGAGAAAATCAGAACTCACTCGGGATATGTCCCTCATACAATTAAATTGCCTTAACAAAATAAGTAAAAAATGGCCTGCCTACCTCTGGAGCAAAATTTATGTTTACCTTCCATATGCTACATTTGCACTTTTCAAAAGAGTTATATTAATAGATACAGAGGCAGAGCTGCCTCAAACACATTGTCAAACTGCAGCGGGAAGGCCGGGGAGGGTTGGGGGGCAGGAAGTAGGGGGGTAAGAGATCAACCAAAGGACTTGTATGCATGCATATAAGCATAACCAATGGACATAAGACACTGGGGGATAGGGGAGGCTAGGGGACTGTCTAGGGCGGGGGTAAAAATGGACACATATGTAATACCCTTTGTAATACTTTAAGCAATAAAAAAAAATTAAAAAAAAAACTTTGAAAAAAAAAGAGTTATATTAACTTTCATTCTAGCCTGCCTTTTGCCAGATCTCACCAGGGCCTTTGTTAAATAGAACAATAACTGGCTTTTCAAGGCTCAATGTAAGAAAAAAAGCCCTGGGAAGAAGAAAAAATTTAAAATGAAAGAGAAATGTGGAAAAGACAGAGGACTGTTGCTCTCTAGAGCCTTGGGTGTGGCCACCTTCTAAGTGCAGCGCAGCTGTCTGTGACTGAAGGTACAGGCTTGAAATAAAATGAAACAAGCCAAGGAGACATGCATTCCACTGAGGTCTTTTTCTGTGAGTGAATCTTGAACCTGCAGTAAATGGTGAATTTGTAGGTTATCTGGAGTGCAAGGGAATGACTGATTTCTAATGAATCATATCGATCTTTCCTCAAATGTCAAGGACTGAAGAATTATGGAATATTCACTATTTTATTTGGTTAACTCTTCTTCATTCTTAAGCATCTGTCACTTTTACTATTTTACAACAAGATTTTCCAATTAAGCTTTAGGTTTCATGCCAATTATAAAAGTACCCAAAATATATAACTTTCCCTCTAGATATCCCAATTTGTATGCACAAGGAACATAACTTAAAAAAATAATTATGTAAATGTCAAAATAATAACAGATCAAAATTCTATAGTTCAAGAGTAAACTAAAAACAATTATATAATTTTCATGATGTAATTACATTTTGTTAATACAGTCTTAGGCCTACAGATAGTTAAGCTAAATTACTATGCATGTGCTTATTTATTTATTCTAATCAAAGAAGAAAGAACTCATTTACTTACAAGTGTGTACAATTCGTATGATTGTATAATTGATCTCATCAATGTTTATAGGATCTCCCACCCAGTCAGGTCAGGAGTTCTGTGTTCTCTGGGTTCTTGTATCCAAAGACAGCAGTAACCTTCTGAGTTTTCCAGCAACTTCAAATGCCTCCAAAGAGAATGAATCTGGCTTTTGAGACACATTGATATAGGGATCCCTGAAGCTCCACCCTAATTAGGTTTTTGTAGTGGGGAACAGTTCATTGATTTGATTAATTTCCTTTGGAATTTCAGGAGTAATCTATTTACCCCTCTCCCCCTTTGTAATTCATCCTTGGCATTGATTTTAAAAAACATCCACATGGCAAATATTCCCACATTCTACTCCCATTCCT